GAGCTGATCTCCACGTGAAACCTAGAATCCACAGGTATCGAAGATAAGAAAGACCAAGTAGGCCTGCTTCTCTTCTCTCCCCACCCCTGAAGGCCACAGAAGGGTCCCCACTGAATATTCTAAACTGTGCATGTCCAGTTACTATAATTACAGTATAAACTGGGTAAATGCACATAGAATCACAGAAGATTAGGGTTGGAAGAGACCTCAGGAGGTCATCTAGTCCAACCCCCTGCTCAAAGCAGGACCAACCCCAACTAAATCATCCCAGCCAGGGCTTTGTCAAGCCAGGCCTTAAAAACCTCTAAGGATGGAGATTCCACCACCTCCCTAGGTAACCCATTCCAGTGCTTCACCACCCTCCTAGTGAAATAGTGTTTCCTAATATCCAACCTAGACCTCCCCCACTGCAACTTGAGACCATTGCTCCTTGTTCTGTCATCTGCCACCACTGAGAACAGCCGAGCTCCATCCTCTTTGGAACCCCCCTTTCGGGTAGTTGAAGGCTGCTATCAAATCCCCCCTCACTCTTCTCTTCTGCAGACTAAATAAGCCCACTCCCTCAGCCTCTCCTCATAAGCCATGTGCCCCAGCCCCCTGATCATTTTCGTTGCCCTCTGCCGGACTCTCCAATTTGTCCACATCCTTTCTGTAGTGGGGGGCCCAAAACTGGACGCAATACTCCAGATGTGGCCTCAGCAGTGCCGAATAGAGGGGAATAATCACTTCCCTTGATCTACTGGCAACACTCCTCCTAATGCGGCCAAATATGCCATTAGCCTTTGTCATAACTATAAAGGGAAGGGTAACAGCTCTCTGTGTACAGAGACTCCAAATCCTTTTACCTGTAAAGGGTTAAGAAGCTTAGGTAACCTGGCTGACACCTGACCCTAAGGATCAATAAGGGGACAAGATACTTTCAAATCTTGGGGGGGGAAAGGCTTTTGTGTGTGCTCTTTGTTTTAAGGGGTGGTTCGCTCTTGGGACTGAGAGGGACCAGACATCAATCCAGGTTCTCCCCATCTTTCTAAACAAGTCTCTCCTATTTCAAACTTGTAAGTAAAAAGCCAGGCAAGGCGTCTTAGATTTACTTTGTTTTCTCAACTTGTAAATGTACCTTTTTACCAGAGTGGTTATCTTTGTTTGCTGTACTTTGAACCTAAGACAGAGGGGGGTCCTCTGAGCTCTTTAAGTTTGATTACCCTGTAAAGTTATTCTTCATACTGATTTTACAGAGATGATTTTTACCTTTTTCTTTAATTAAAAGCCTTCTTTTTAAGAACCAGATTGATTTCTCCTTGTTATAAGATCCAAGGGGGTTTGGATCTGTGTTCACCAGGGAATTGGTGAAAGGTTTCTCAAGGCTTCCCAGGGAGGGAATTCTTGAGATGGTGGCAGCGGACCAAAGCTAAGCTGGTAGTTAAGCTTAGGAGTCCTCATGCAGGCCCCCACTCTTGTACCCTAAAGTTCAAAGTGGGGATACAGCCTTGACAGCCTTCTTGGCAGCAAGGACACACTGTTGACTCATATCCAGCTTCTCGTCCACTGTAATCCCCAGGTCCTTTTCTGCAGAACTGTTGCTTAGCCACTCGGTCCCTAGTCTGTAGCAGTGCATGGGATTCATCCATCCAAAGTGCAGGACTCTGCGCTTGTCCTTGTTGAACCTCATCAGATTTCTTTTAGCCCAATCCTCCAATTTGTCTAGGTCACTCTGGACCCTATCCCTACCCTCCAGCATATCTACCTCTCCCCGCATCTTCGTGTCATCTGCGAACTTGCTGAGGGTGCAATCCATCCCATCATCCAGATCATTAATGAAGATGTTGAATAAAACCGGCCCCAGGACAGACTCCTGGGCCACTCTGCTTGATAGTAGTTGCCAACTAGACATCGAGCCGTTGATCGCTACCTGTTGAGCACGACGATCTAGCCAGTTTCTATCCATCTTATAGTCCATTCATACAATCCATACTTTTTTAACTTGCTGACAAGAATATTGTGGGAGACCGTATCAAAAGCTTTGCTAAAATCAAGATATATCGCGTCCACCACTTTCCCCATATCCACAGAGCCAGTTATCTCGTCATAGAAGGCAATCAGGTTGGTCAGGCATGACTTGCCCTTGGTGAATCCATGTTGACTGTTCCTGATCACCTTCCTTTCCTCCAAGTGCTTCAAAATGGATTCCTTGAGGACCTGCTCCATGATTTTTCTGGGGACTGAGGTGAGGCTGTAGTTCCCCGGGTTCTCCTTCTTCCCTTTTTGTAAAGATGGGCACTAGATTTGCCTTTTTCCAATTGTCCAGGACCTCCCCTGATTGCCACGAGTTTTCAAAGGCACATGCTAATGGACAGTTAAATTAATATAAGGGATGAGTATCTAGTCTGACCTGTACAGTGCAGAAGCTGGGACTGGACAACGAGGTGGATCATGTTGTTCAATGCCCTGTTCTGTTCACTCCCTCTGAAGCATCTGGTGTTGGCCACTGCCAGAAGGCAAGCTACTGACTAGCTAGATCATTGGTGTGACTGAGTTTGGCTATTTTTATGGGTTTGATGCAGAAATCATGTCTTTAATTTAACACTAGATATCTTTCTAAAAGATTCAATCATGGAGAATCCACCACATCCCTAGTTAAATTGTACCTTATTTTAGCTGAATTTTTGTCCATCTTCAGCTTCCTATCATCAGCTCTTGTTCTGTCTGCTAGCCGAGAACCCTTCACTGTCAAATCTTCTCCCTATGTAAGTACTTGCAGACCATGGTCAAGCACCTCTTATCCTTTTCTTGGATAAACTAAATAGACTCAAGGAGCTCAATCACTGTAAGGTAGGTTTTCCAGACCTCAAATTATTCTTGTGGCTCTTCTCTGAGCCCTTTTCTAATTTAATATTCTTTGTTTGGACACCAGAACTGGACACAGTATCCAGTAATGGCATTATCAATGCTGTATGTAAAGGTAATATCACCTCCTCCTTACCTTACTTGAGATTCCCCTGCTAATATGTCCAAAGACTGTTAATCTTTTTAGCACTCCATGATGCTATGGCTCAAGTTTGGTTGGTTTCCACCATAACACTCAAGTCCCTTTGAGTCTTTGCTTTCCGGGATATAGTCCCCCTTCCTGTATGCAAGATCTACATTCTCTATTTTTAAATTTTGCATTCTGCTTTGTTAAAATATTCAAATGAACCCACTTTACCAAGCCATCCAGATTGGTCTGTAGAAATGACCTCTCCATATTTAGTGCTCCACTAATGTGCAATCTGTAAAATTTACTAGCAGTGACTTCATGTTTTTTTCAGTATCTTTATCAATGATGTGGAATAGCATTGGGACAAGCACAGATCCCTGCCAGACCCCCACTGGAAATGCCCTCAGTGGATTAGTATTCTTCTTTTAAAATTACTTTGAGCTTCATCGGGTGTTTTTTTTTTTTTAAATCCACTTGATGTATGCTCCATTGAATGCTGGCTAGTGAAAACTTTACTCTGAATGTTGTGTAGTTGAGTAACTGCATGTGTAGCTGGCTGTAACTATGCATACAGGTTAAGGGCACAGTTTAGAAAAATCAGGCCCTTAGACGTACCTAGCTCATTTCTGAGTCTGTCCAGTGGTGATGGATATGCACCCAACCTTGGTAGCTACTCTTATTCTTGGAGTAAAGCTGAGTTGTTACATAATTCAGCGCTAGGGCAAGAGTGTCTCAAACACTTTGGATTCCAAGAAACCAGGAAGAGGTTTTTGGATAGCATGTTCACATCTGGTTCAACTAAACTTCCCTGCCTATCCCTTTCCACTTCTAGCCCCTTGAATCCCTAGGAGAATGGGCTTGCCTCACTAATGCTCTGACAAGATGAAGCTAAAGGCAGAAGAACACTCTGTACTAGAGCAACTAGTAACCCGTTGAGAAACGAATGATTCTAAATGACTTAAAATTTTTGAGTTCAGTTACAGCCCATGCATCAAAAATCTTACTTGAGCCAAAAGTGTTTATCTTGACAAAGGAGAGATTGTCACATTGGGGTTATCCGATGGCTGGCAATGCAGCTTGCAGTGGGGCAGCTGGCATTGCAGGGGGAGCTGAGGAACAGAACTGGTGTCTGGAGTTGGGGAGTGGACTTGTGCACTTGCTTTATCATTCAGATTTTCTTGACTCTCTTGTACTAGGCATTCCCTCCCCAAGGAAACGCATTCTATTCCTCTTCACCAGCTCCATCTCGGACCCTTGACATAAGACTCGACTTTAACATAATGCAGTGTTACTCAGATCCAGTTGATGACCAGTACCTGCTTGCAAAACTAAACTGAATTTGCTGCCACTTCAGCAGATTCTGAAATTCCCAAGGTGATGGTCTGGGTTCCCTTGGTTTCCGAAATTGGTGTCTTGATCTGTACAAGGCACCATGCACAGAGCAAACGCGCCTCTTCACAGATGTATCCTTTTCATCATAACTGTATCTGAGCCACATGAGATCCTGACTTCTTCTCCCTATTAAAAACTCACTGACAAGGGTGCCTGCAATGAAGCCTGAGCCCAAAGCACTGCTGGGCACAATAAAGCGCTTGGTTTTCAAATGTGCTTGTAGATACATCTCTAAGAATGATAGTAGCCCTCAAACGTAGGCAGATTATCAGCACACAGGACTATAAACATGGGCGGTGCAAATGTAAATGGTTAAGGAGAGAGAGGACAGATGTGTTTGAGACACCTCAATTTTTTTTCTAGGGTAGAAGGGGAGGGCATTGCTTGAGGAAAACAAAGTTGGGACTAAGATAAATGGCTGGCCTCTTCCGGGGCTTGGATTTGCACTTGGTAGGAATGACAATGAGCTGAATTATGCCATAGAAAAGCAGAGGTACCTCTCTGAGCAGCAGGTGTCACTGTGTGCCAGCGTAAGGGAGGAATGCTCAGATCAAAGCACAGTGTTCGCTGGAGCTTTTTCTTCCCATGATAGTTCAAAACAAAAATATCCTGAATAGTGGTTTCTGCTTTTCAGATTTGAAGCTGCACCTCCAGAGCACGGATTATGGGAACTTCCTGGCCAACGAAGCCTCCCCCCTTTCTGTGTCCGTCATAGATGACAAGCTGAAGGAGAAGATGGTGGTGGAGTTTCGTCACATGAGGAACCACGCGTATGAGCCATTGGCAAGTTTCCTGGACTTCATCACGTGAGTACGAGCTGCTCCACAGCAGCACTTGGAAGCAGACTTTGCTGAGCTTCCTAACTTGAAAGGGCCTTTCTCACCTGAGGGGCAGAACAGCTGTAGGCTCGCAAGTTTATGAGTGAAATTGCCTTGGGATCCTGCTGACAGCGTCCTCTTTGGCTGCACAATGCCTTGGGCAGATGTGTATTCAAAAGGCTTCCACTCCAAAGATTCTCCAGGTGTCTCCCCTGCTAACACAACTGCCAAGATCTGCTTCAGTACAGACTGACTTAATCTTCCTTTTCGAAGCTTGCCATGGGCATTGAGATCTTCCAGTTTAAAATAAACCCCAGGAGCTGCCATGCTAATGTGGTCACACCAAAAAGCAGCCTTGTGTGCGTGGGTGGCTCTGACCCTTAACAGACGACAAGGCAGCATACAAGTCTGACTGTTCACTTGCACTAAGGTTAATCAGAGGCCAGCTGCAAAGCCTTAAATAGTTCAAGACTCCTTGCAGACCTCTGGGAGTGGTGACCCATCCCCCCCTTTGTATTCTCTATCCACTCCCAGTTGTACTGGTCCCCTCCTCACGTGTAGATGAAGTGAAAGGTACAGCAATTCCACAGTAAATCTGTAGGAAATCTTTGCTGGAAAGTGAGTGGGCTGAAGTGGTGGTTTTTTTGCAAGTGATTCGTAGGTTTTAAGTCCAGAAGAGGCCATTATGATCTATTCTAAAATCTCTGTGCTATCTCCTCGTGGATGTCTAGCTGTTCTCAAGCTCCACCTGGCAAAGCGAGAGCTCCTAATCTTCCCCCTCCCCTCTCTACTGCCTTTCTCCATCTCTGGGGACAACACCTGTGCACCCAGGTCTGTAACCTGAGTGCCATCTTTGCCTGGATGCTAAGGGAGAGCTCCGAGTCAGTGTCTCTAAATCTTGCCAATTCTTTCTGCATAATGTCTCTAAGATCTGGCCTTTCTTATCCGTCCACACAGCTAAAACTCTTGTCCAGGTTCTCACCTTGCCTCTTGATTACTGCCAGCATCCTTCTTCTCTGGCTTTGAGCGAGCAAGAGTGCATTTGTCATATGCGTTCAAAATGGTGCTGCAAATGTCATTTTCCTAACCCGTCGCTTTAACCACAACCCCCCTGTATTTGAATCTGCCACTGGCTCTTCTCTGAACCCTTTCCAACTTTGGACACCAGCACTGGACACAGTGTCCAGTAACCGTCTCAGCAATGCTATTTGCACAGGTAATACCTTCTCCCTGCTCCTTCTCAGAGATCCCCTGTCTATGCATCATGGGTCACAGCAGCTGCTTAGCACAGCATCATGCTAGAAGCTGATGTTCAGTTGGCTTCTACTGTGATCCAAGTCCTTTTCAGAGTCACTGCTTTCCAGCATGCAGCCCCCTCAACCAGTAAGTGTGTCCTAGATTCTTTGTTCCTAGATTTACAAGTCTGCATTTAGCTGCAATAAAATACAGGTTTCTCTGCTCCTCTTACCATGCAGTCCAGCTTGTGCTGTGTATGTGATCAGTCCTTATTATTTATCACCCAACCAGTCTGTCTACAAGCTATATCAATAATTCCCCCCCCCCCCGAATATTTGATAGCTTTTGAATTGAGATTGGCCAAGGCAGATCCCTGCAAGATTCCCCTTGAAACACCCCCCATTGACAATTACTTTTTGAGACATCAGCCAGTTTATAATCCCTTGAATATGTGCTACACCAGGGGTTCTCAAACTGGAGGTTGGGACCCCTCAGGGGGTCACGAGGTCATTACATGGGGGGGTCGCGAGCTGTCAACCTCCACCCCAAACCCCGCTTGCCACCAGCATTTATAATGGTGTTAAATATATAAAGTGTGTTTAATTTATTGGGGGGGTCGCACTCAGAGGCTTGCGATGTGAAAGGGGTCACCAGTAAAAAAGTTTGAGACGCACTGTGCTACACTGATTTTATGTAGTGCTAGTTTTTAATCAGTCTGTCTGTGCTAAATCAAAGTATATTTCATTACCTTAATAAACCAAACTTGTAATCTCTTCAGATACCAAGTTCATTTGACCAGCTCTATTTTCCGTACAATCCTATTGATTGGTACAGATTATATTTCCATTCTTTGATAGTCCTGTATCACCCCCTTCATTGTTTTTACTTGGGTTGGATGTCTGATCAATAACTGCTTGGCTTATCCCATTTGTCCCTTTAAAATATTGGGACAATCATGGATTTTTCCCTGTCCCCAAGAGCTAACCCTAGTTCTTGAAGGTTTATTAAAAACGATCAAGATCCATAGAGCTCCTCGGTAAACAATTAAAACTCATGTGTGCAAGTTTTCTGTGCTTGCTGATTTTCAATAATCTAAATTGAATAGATGCTGTTTATAATCCTCTTTACTATTGAAATAGAAAGTACCTTCTCATTATGATACATAATAGATAGATATTCTGCCTTCTCTGCTTTATTACTGACAACTTACTGTCTGTAACCAGGAATGGACCCATACCAGTGTTAAGATTCTTTTTATTCTTTTGTTTGTTTTTGTTTTTTGTTTTTTACCCTACAGGCCAAATATTTTCCACAGAAACCTTTGTAGCTTTCTTTATTAACTGTCTGCGCTTCTTAACTTATAATTTATATTCATTGCCATCAACTGATCCTAGTTTCCGTTTTCTGTGGTGCTTTGTAAGTGTGAAAGGGGTGTGTGTGTGTGTCAATTTTATACATTTGCCAAGATGCCAGTTAAATTTTAAAGCTGAAATCTAACAAACTAGGTTTGCCAATTTTGATAGTGCTATATCCAATATTCAAATGAATCTGATAGGATAACCCCTTCTTATTGAGTCCAGGAGGCATTCGCTTACTAACTTTAACACTAGGTTCTTTTCAGATCAACTTTTAACTTGAACAGTATTTCTGAAATCAAAACACTTGGTTATTCTTAACCAGTCCATTTATTAATGCACCCAGAACCACATCAACATACCATCAACACTTCACCAATAAAGTGTAGACACAACCAATGTTCTAGGTGTGTGCTGATCACACCAATACTGTCTTGCAATCAATTGTCACAGACTGTGACTGCGGCTCAGCAATTATACCAAGGAACACTGCAAATCACCAAGATTTCTTATTGTAGTTATAATAATGAATCCTCAGTTCTTTAGTACCTAACACACTTATCACACTTCCAGTATTTCTCCAAGGAGTAAGGATGTACTTGTCTTGAAGGCACTTGTGGGAATATGTGGGCCCTGCTATTTGAATGCATTGGTCCAAAAGGGACAAATTTAGAATATCAAAAGCAATTGCTTAAAGTTATGGCTCAAATCTTTCTAGGCCAATTTGCTTGGATTTATAAAGGAGGGAATGCATATAGCACTAGTTAAAATCTAAAATATGGTTATGTGAGGTCTCACTAAAGAATGCGGACTCAGCAAGGTAGCCCGCAGTTATATATGTTAAAGAACAAAAAAGGAAATAGTCTTTGAAATCATAGAATCGTAGGACTAGAAGGGACTTCGAGAGGTCATCTAATCCAGTGCCCTGCACTCAAGGCAGGAGTAACTATTATCTAGATCAGGGGTCGGCAACCTACGGCATACGTGCCAAAGGTGGCATGCGAGCCGATTTTTGATGGCATGCAGGGCGGGCTGAGCCGCTCAGCCCGCCGCCGCTCTGGGGTTCCCGCTGCTGGCTCCTTGCCAGCCGGAGTCCCGCTGCCGGTCCCACTCAGCACCCGCTGCTGGCCTGGGGGAAGGAACCCCAGGCTGGCAGCGGGCTGAGACCCCAGTTGGCAGGAGCCGGCGGCCGAAACCCCAGAGCAGCGGCGGGCTGAGCTGCTCAGCCTGCCGCCGCTCTGGGGTTCACGCTGCTGGCCCCTTGCATAACCCCAGGCTGGCAGCAAGCTGAGACCCCGGCTGGCAGGAGCCAGTGGCTGAAACCCCAGAGGGTGGCTGGCGGAGACACTCAGCCCACCCCTGAAATCCCAGAGCTGGGCGGGCTGTGACCCGCTCAGCCCGCTGCCGCTCTGGGGTTCCGGCTGCTGGCCCCTTGCCAGCCGGGGTCCCCACTGCAGCCCCACTCACCTTGCTTCCGGTTGAAGTTCCAGTGCAGGCCCCCTGCCAGACAGGGCCAGGCCTCCGGCCCTGCTCAGCCCTACCAGCCGCCCGCTCCACTCCCCTCAGCTGCTGATCTGGGGTTCCAGCCGCTGACCTCCTGCCAGCCAGTTATCAATTGATCACTCAGAAGCCTGTGTGCAGCTTAAAGTATCTAAATACGGGCCACCAGACATTGGAAAACTCAGCAAGGAAAAGCAAGGGCAAGGATCACACTAAACTGATAAGATCAGCATTTTAATTTAATTTTAAATAAAGCTTCTGAAACATTTTGGGTTGTAGCCCACGAAAGCTTATGCTCTAATAAATTTGTTAGTCTCTAAGGTGCCACAAGTACTCCTGTTCTTTTTGAAAACCTTGTTTACTTTACATATAACAGTCGTTCGGTTATATATTATAGACTTAGAGACCTTCTAAAAAACGTTAACATCTATTACCGGCACGCGAAGCCTTAAATGAGAGTGAATAAATGAAGACTCGGCACACCACTGCTGAAAGGTTGCCGACCCCTGATCTAGATCGTCCCTGGCAGGTATTTGTCTAACATGCTCTTAAAAAATCTCCAATGATGGAGATTTCACAACCTCCCCGGGCAGCTTATTCCAGGGCTTAACCACTCTGACAGTTAAAAAGTTTTTCCTAATGTCCAGCCTAAACTGCCATTGCTGCAATTTAAGCCCATTGCTGCTTATCCTAGCCTCAGAGGTTGAGGAGAACAATTTTTCTCCTGCCTCCTTGTAACAACCTTTTACGTACTTGAAAACTGTTATCATGTCCCCTCTGTCTTCTCCAGACTAAACCAACCCAATTTTTCAATCTTTCCTCATAGGTCATGTTTTCTAGAGCCTTAATTGTTTTTGTTGCTCTTCTCTGGGCTTTCTCCAATTTGTCTTTCCTGAA